AGTCAAATACAGAGGAAATTACTCACACAGCTTCATAAGTTATCTGATACACAAATAAGTCATGTGTTAAGGGCTAGAAAAATAGAAACTTGCCTAAATAAAGCCAGCTTGTCCTGCATTTTCAGGCTAATACTATACATTTCCACAGGCTACTGCTATTTCTGGTCATCAGATGGATCATTTGCCTGGCGGTACCAAAAGTAAGGAAAAAATCTTTCAGGCAGATTGTTTTTATCATCTTGAAATATTACCATGAAATGAAAGAAACCTTGACTATATCGGAGGCTTAACATAGAAAAACAAAGAAATAAAAACTTCAAAGTAAACTGTAAAACATAGGTGGCAAGAGCAATTTCCTGGATTGAACTGGAAATATTTGCAGGTTGGCACTAGAGGCAAGGACCTCTGAAATAACTTGCTTATTGCTCAATCCAGAAACTCACGCTCCTATGTGCATACTTCTATAGTTTTTGGAAATTAGCAGATGGCCAACAAGATTCCTGTGCCTGTGACTAGCATGCATTTAAAAATGCCTAGATTTCTGCCCTCAATCAATGCATTAAGTACCTTTGGGTTCAAGTATACTCCATGGCTGTTATTGGATAATAATTGCCCACAGAATTGCATCATCATGACCCTTCTACCTTGCAAATTCCAACTATGAACTGTGCAAATCCCTGGACTCAATAATAAAACATCTTTCAGTAAAACACCTGTCAAACAATAGTCTACATTTCCTTAAGTTTAGCTAATGTTGAAACAGGAAGACATCAAAAAAAGTTAATACTTGTTGTCAGCAATAGCATGACCTTGGCAAGAAGAGATGAATACAACTACAATTTTCCTCAATCAAATGTTTGTTAATTTTTTGTTGGTCTTACCAAATTGTATGTAACTGAATCAATATTTTTAAAACAATAAAATAAATCAAATTAAGGAGGACCTTTATAATCAATTAAACAAATAGGTTTAAGAACAAAGAAATGCCTCTTGTCAATGAGAGGCATTTCTGAAGACCCTCCCCCAACCCTCCCCCCCCCAAAAAAAAAATCTAACCATGAACTGGAATTCTAGATTTAGTAAGACTGATTGCATGAGATATGAATAAATTACACTTCTTTACAAGAGCCAAACTGAATAGAATTTATTATTGAATCCAGTTGCTAAGGATTTGAGCAACTGAATGCTTACATAATTCCTATATCTTAGATATTTCTGGAAAAGCTGGAATCTAATACATCTACAAATAAGAAATATGATATAACTAAATTATGGAACATCACTCAATTTTATGGTGGGATTTATAGTATGTGGAAAAAAACTGATTTGTTGGAGAGTTAGGGAATGTATACAGAAATGTATGCACAGATCTGGTTAAACCACAAATCTTAAAAAGAAAATTGCTTCAATTAGTTCTCTTTTGCTAAGATGAAATGAAAATAAAAAGCAGATGTAAAGACTGCAACCACATGATATTCACATTACAGCAATAGCAGTAAGATGCCATTCTTTCTTTTGACTGTGAGCACATGCTTTGTTTTACACTAAAGAAATCAAATACGTAAAAGCCAAAGACTGCTTTTAAAATATTGCCATAAAATTAAGTTCTGAGCCATGGCATCTGTATGAGAACAGCAGCAGCAACAGCAAGCTCATAAGGAAAAGGAGATTTCTTATCTGTCCCTTTCAGAATGACCAACACTTTCTCATTCTCTGAGCCACATTTCCGGAGTCCCTCAAACTATTCTGACTCAGCTTCATTTATCATCTTAGACTTATGTGACTACCAGTTTAGCACCTTACAGCTACCATAGACAGATAAGACAGAAAGTCTACATATTTCAACTTATTCAGGTAACTGTTTTCTTGACCAAAAAAATCTCCAAAGGAATTTTTTAAATAAGATGTCTTCATCAACTAACCTTTCCTTTCTCTGTGCTCCCACTGCATACACGTTCTGTACTTTTCATACTTTGCAGTGCCCATCTTGTGGTACTTCTTGTTTCATTGTGTGGTCACTTCACAACTTGTTCTGTTTACATCACACCCTTCAGTATCCTACATGCTGCTTTGAGGTCAGAGATAAAAGATGAAGCCTCATACCAGTCTGGATACTCAACATCAACCACCACACCAACTCCTATGAGATAAGCAGGCACTCAACAATGTACTGATGGCCTGTGCAGGGGTTGGGCAAGTGACAAAAATGCATGAAGTGGCCTCAGGGCCTGCCACACAACATGGAGTGGTGAATCTGTGCCCCACATAAAGCAGCAGTTGCTACTCAGCTCAATCCAATAGTTACCAAGCAAGGATTCAGATCTAATGTTGCCATATTTTCTAATTTTTCAAGAGAAACTAGAAATTTGGGATTTTATATCAACTTGCCTAATTTTTAAATGTTAGCTAAAAAATTTCAACCCTTTGTGGGCTGAAGGAAACCCATCTGAGAGCTTAATTTGCCCCACAGGCCACCATACTATATCATAGCAGTCTTCTGTGTCTCTGACCCCTTCTGTCTCCTTCACTAGTTCCTCTTCCTCCTTCTGTCCCTTGCTTATAGAAATGAACTTTGTTGATATATTCCTTCTGGATGTGCACTCTCTCTTTCTCCTCTGAACTGCCACACCACTTTACTTATAGCCTTCCATGGCATTTACCTCTATTGTCTTGTTCCACAGTTATCTATGTATACTCATACCTTCCATAAAGAAATAAGTTCCTCAAATCACTTATTCTGCTAATAACATCATTGGTTGAATTCCGTATCAGACTCTATGCTATGCACTTTATGTATATTAACTCAGCTACTCTTTATAAGAATCCTAAAGAATATCATTACTATTTTATAAATAAGGAAACTGAGGTTTAGAGACCTCCTAATTAATGCCCAAGTCCACAGAACTGCTAAGTGGTAGAACCAAAACTTGAAGCCAGGCTTTTTTACTCCAAAATACTCATATTTAAGTCTTCTACAATTCCTCACATATGGTGAGCACTCAATACTTGCTGAATTGATCATTTAAAAACAGAAATTTATATTTCACTTAAAAGACATTGTTAAGGAATATGAAGAAAAATTACTGATGAGTTAATGGTTTGCAGAAGAATTAAAAATAAAGTACTCACAATGAATATTTGTTGTTCATTGATAGATGGGAGCCCATTCATCAACTAAATAGATACGTAGGATTTATCCGAGATGCTTTCCAGTGTACTTATACAAAAAATACACCAATCCAAAAATAATACCATAAAATAAATTGCCATGTTAGCATATTTCTACCTTGAAAATTCAATGTGCAATGCTGGTTTTAGTTATAAATGAAGAAATGCCAAGAGGAAATTGAACAAAAGCTCAAAAGACATTATTTTTTGCATGCAAGAAGCATCAATTATTTCTTTTCAACAACTATAATGTTACATTTCCGTTTCTGCATCCAATGGGTGTCCGAAAATGCAGTTTTCTCTTTTCTCTCTAAATATGTGTTGTTTCACATAAAAATACATCTCAGTATGTAACAACAAAGTAAGGGTTCTGGTTTTCCCTGTCATTATATTTAAAATATCTTATCTGAACCATAAGAACTCTGAAAATGTGGTTTAGATGATAACAGAATCTGACCACATTCGTGCTTTATTTGAAGTCCTAATGGCTAAATAAATCCTTAAATTCTCAGTCTCTCTTTTAAAAATAACATTTGGCAGCCATGAAAAAGACATTTTCTATCTTTAAGACCATTATTCAGCTTTGAGATTTCAGCTACCCTTGAAATCTAACAACAAAAAATCAGCTGAAACATGAAACAAACAAAGAATAACTCTAAACATTTTTTTTTTTTTCCATCTCACTTCCTCCTTTTGAGAAATGGAACCCAGTAACATAAACTAGCCTAACTAGTGTCAAAGTCCTGGGGTATATTGGGGTGGAGACAAAGATTCAAATTCTCTCTCTTTTCCAAGAAATCTGATCCCAATCCAGAATTTCAAATTAATGGTAGGAACACTACCACCAAACTGCTCTCTAAAGGGGTGAGAAGCAGCTGTGCCTGGCCCTTAGAAACATAACCTAAGGAAGCTGAGATGGCTCCATAAACGTTTTGCCAGTCACCAAACTGTTTCTCTGGAACATCTTGACCCTGCTCTTTTCCTGTAAGGTAGTTTACACTGGCCAGATCCCTAACCTTCGATTGACAGCTTGGAGAAAGGACTCAATGTAAATCAGAATTATTACCTATAGGCAAATGATATTTAAATCTTTTGAAGAGTCAAGAAAATCACACTCATCTAAGACTATAAAAAAAATGATTTGGTGAAACTTTTACAAAGCTGGTTGGGGGATTGGTAGAATAACAAAAGGCCAGACATTCTCTTTTCAGTCTAGATCCCATGAAATACTGAAATATGAGCAGGGGGGAGAGGTAAGAGCAAGAAACAAGAATTTTACTTTTCCAAAGTTGCTACTACTCTCTGTATTCTTCACCTTCTACCAGCCTTGTAAAAGAATATTTGAGGAAACTATTAAAAGAAGAAACATATTCATTTCAAAACCCTCACAGGAGAGAAGTCATCCACACAGTGAACCTCACTGCTTTATGCAGAGTAAGGGACAAGAGACTGCCATTGCTAACCCCTAGTACCAGAGGAATAAAAAAGTAAGGCTCTCAAAGGACCTTGAGTGCTGCATCAATTTTATTCCCTCTCCTCTCTCTTGTCACGATCAAGAATTAGCTTAAATCATAGAGATATAATATTAAAATAAATATTGCCTCAGTGACCCCCATCTCAGCAAATTACCAACTGAAAGAAAAATGGGTAGAAAGTGGAAGTAACCAAAAGAAAATACACACTGTTAGGGAAACTACAATTACTACAGTTGTAGCCATGGAAAAAGTAATTGGGAAGAAACCTCTTTAGTTAACAAGCAGATTAAAAATTATGTGAATTAGCTTTAGCACACATAAACCTAAACAATCTATGTGTTGTTGAATAAAATTTACCTGATTATTCTGATTTTCAAGTCTTGGAGAAAAGCTGGACATTTGGGGGAAAGCTGCAGAGAGTTCTTGGAGTTTTGCATCAATTTCAGCAAGCTGCTGATTCTGGGTGGCTGCAAGTGTATATCCTTCTCCTGGGACCAGCCAGCCAGACTGATCACTCTAAGAGGAAACAAGGGTCACCAAGTCATTCCCACACTACATTTTTCCCAAAATATACCTTTCAAACTGCTACATCAATGCTCAGGACTTCACAAAAACAAACAAAAACCACAGATTTAACATTGGAGTAGTGAAATTTAAAAATGAAATAGTTGATGGTTTCATTATCTGCCAACCCTGTGTGTAAAGTATCTTCTTACATTTTGTGGGTTTTTCTCCCTGTGGAATAAATCTCTTAACCTCGCAGTCTGGTTCTCATAACATTCTCATTTCTCTACTTTAGAAAAATGGTTTATGATGTATAGAATAGGAAGAAACCAGGTTTAATCTATAACAGAACATGGTATTTTCAAGCTTCATCTCTTAAAAGTAACACAGGGTCTATAACGTCAGTTGCTTGGGTTTCATGAACTTAATTGGTCATCTAACTCTTATTCAACTAACATTATGGATGGTCCCTGACTTAGGATGGTTTGACCTACAATTTTCCGACTTTACAATGGTGTAAAAGTGATACACATTCAGTAGAAGCCCTAATTCAGTACAGTATTCAATAAATTACATGAGATACTCAACACTTTATTATAAAATAGGCTTTCTGTTAGATTGTTTTGCCCAGATGTAGGCTTGTGTTCTGAACTTGTTTAAGTCAGGCCAGGCTAAACTATGATGTTCAGGAGATTATGTGTATTAAATGCATTTTTGACTTAAAATATTTTCAATTTATGCTGAGTTTATTGGAAAGTAGCCTCATCAAAAGTCAAGGAGCATCTGTAGTTTCATATTGTCTTTTAATACCCATGCATAACATTCATTCAAAAATCTTGCACTGAATGCCTACTATGCATAGGTACTATGCTGGGCACTGGTGATTCGATATGAGTCTCACAAGGTTCTGTCCTCAAGGAGTTCCCAATCTCTTGGCAGCAATGATTGTAACAAGGTATGAAGAGTGCTGGTAAGCCCTGGGCACCGTGAGAACCAGGGAAGGTCAACTAACCTCTGTGGGTGGGAAAGGACAAGGAGACGAAGAGGTCAGAGAAGGCTTCCTGGAAGAAAAAGGACCTTAATCAAAGAAACAACATGATCGGCTCTGTACTTTAAAACTGGAGCTAGTAAAGGCAAGACCTGTGGCAGAAAAACCAGTTAAGAAACAATAGCCATAATCTAGAACAAAAGTGATGAATGCATGTTTTCTGGGAATGAAGAATATAGAACAGATTCCAGAGATATTTAGAAAGCAGATTCACAAAACCTGGAGATAATTTGATGGAAGAGTAAAGGAAAAAGAATCAAAGATAAAAAACAAGTCCTTGATTTTGTGAACTAGATAGATGGTGGTCACATTGTCTAAACTAGGGAATACAGACACTGCAGTAGGTGTGAGGAGAAAGATGATAACGATCAATTGTTTGGGAGCTTTTGATATTCACAGACAACTGTACGATGTTCACAGGTTATGTTAGGCAGTTAAATATATTTATCTGAAGCTCAATTTAGAAACCTGGGATTGAAATAAGCATTTTTATTTTTGTTGTTGTTGTTGTTGTTGTTGTTGTTGTTTTAATTTTTATTTTGTCAATATACAATGTAGTTGATTATTATGTCCCATCACGAAATAAGCATTTTGGACTCACCCGCATATCTACAGAGGTCCAAACCCCTGGGACAATGGGAATGAATGAGGTTGCACAGGGAAGCATGTAGTGCAAGAGGACAGAAAAATCATGAAGAAAATTCAGAATAAAGAGGCAGGGAGAGGGCAAAGAAGCTTAAGAATTTCATACATTTTGGTTTCATGATGCTGATGCCAGGAATCAATCTCTAGGCAGTAACCAGAATTACAGATAAAAACTTATGCAGAAAGACTTGTTATATTTGTCTCCTCCTGACCCTGGCATCCAAACTCCCTGTTTCAGTGAAACCAAACATTGTGTGAGTCTTGGTAGGTAAAAGATCCCCACCAGACACTCCCTCTCCCCACCCACAGGCACCAATAAGACGGGCAAATGCCCCAGATCCAGCCAATCAGAAGTGATCACCCTGAACTTGGGATCTTGAGCGACAGACGTAAAGATGCAGGAAATGACAGCAGCAGCAGTAAGAATACAGCACTGGCAGCAGTGAAGGTGGCAGAAATGAGCATCGATCGGGGGCAAGGGTCTGAAAACTTCAATAAAAATAAATGAATAAAACAGAATTTTTTAAAGTCAGAGAATACTGTCTCATAATTTGGAAAGTTACTGTAAATTTGTGCTAATGGGTCGATAATATGATAAAAAATCAAAGTTAAGAAGTGTAGAGGTCACTGACTATCAAAGTTTACATACCTCAGAACTAGACAGCCCCGAATCTCTATCATTTAAGTCCTTCAGAAGTTCAACCAGCCTTTTCTTCTCTCTGTCAATCATAACCACTGGGTTTCTTGAATCCTTGGCCAACTACAGCATTTATTAATGGAAAACATCAAACATTTAAAGCAATTCATAGTTCAGGAAAATAGAAATGGGAACTGAGGTTTCTACAATACAGGTACAGATAAACTAAGGTAAAATATATGAGATTAGGCATTTCACATTTGCTAGGTGATTTTATTTTATGCCAAATTTTTTGTATAGGGCCATTCTCCAAGAAAGGTATTCCTTCTATAAGCAGGCCTTCTTGTTAATCATTCCAACAAACCAATAAACATTTTATTTAAAATAATAATAATAAAACATTAACAGTTTTTAAACCTCTCTTTATTATGTATATGTATGTATATATGGGTGTATGTGTGTGCGTGAGTGTGTGTGTGTACATATTAATGCAAAAATTTATTTGCTGAGACAAATATGTTTTGGAAGGAATTTTCTTGGCACTTCCTCTGTTGCACATATCCACTAAATGAAACTGCTTTTAAATTTCAACAATATCATACAAGGAATTTAAATAAAGATTCAGTTATTATTGTTAAAACGGGGAAAGAGAAATCTACAGTGGAGCTACTGTCTGTGTCAGCAAGAACTTGGATATGAAGAAAACTACTGCTCTTGAAAAATTAAACAATAAATCAATCAATGTACAATGGGCCAGCACAAAGTCAAATACAGATCAAGTTAGAGAAGATTTCCTGGGGAAGATCATATGAACACGGAGCACAGAAAAATTAAGAGTTCCAGAGGTCAGTCCTGATAGTGGTAGGCTGACCCATAAATCCAGTCTTCCTGGAAATAACATGCCAACTGCGGGAAAAACATCAGACTTGAACTGTGAGGAAGTACTTAATTCTCTCCTCTTGTTAACACTTCACACTCACAAATGCAGTTTTCTGGTGACTAGCTACTCAAGTGGTTTGTCATGAGCTTCTGTCCAACCCATTTACATTTCTTGTTGTAAATTAATTAATTAGCATTCTGTTCTAATACAGGAGCCCCTATGCCTTGTTAGTCTGAGTCTGCCTTGAAGACGAACCAAGACAGGCTGCAGGACCTGCAAGACCAAGGATAAGCCCCAGATGCAGGGAACTAACCAAGGCCACTGACCAGCTGCCAGGAGGCTCAGCCTGGAGTGGGGGACAGGGAGTAGACACCCCTTCTCCAGCCCACCCCTGCTGCTCTGCCAGGAGCACTTTCCATTCAGAGTTCCAAATGCACTAGCTATAAAATCAGTCTCATTACTTTAAAAACCAATTTTACTAACATGCTATTTAAAACCTTGGCAACTGTGCAAAGCTATTATCAAAATTTAAAAAAAAAAAAGATTACAATGTGTAAGGTTGAATATACTAATTATCCTGATTTGAGCATTACATATTGCACACAGGTATTGATATTCAACACTGTACCCCTCAGATATGTACAACAAATTATGTTTCAATAAAAAAATAAATAGATAAATAAATGTTTTTCAGATTGCAGGAACCAGACTATTTATAGGTAGTGAAATAAATACTAGTTGCAGCCAGCATTTTTTAAAAGGGATAGGATAGGATAGGACAGGATAAGAAGGATGGGATATAATAAAATATAAAATAGAATATAGTGAAGATAAGTATTGATTTACAAAACTTCTCTTTTTTGTATATACTGATTCAATTATTCACACATTTATCATGGTTAAAAAAAGATATGAACACAACTATTATTATTTTTGCAACCCATTTAGTCCCACATTCTGGCTTCTGACTCTCTTAAGTACATACCTCCATGTTTCGCTTAATAAAATCCTGGTTGTGTTTACCACTGGGCTCAATCTTTTCAATATTTGAGAAAGGTTTCTTTTCTGCTTTAATCAATGACGCATTTCTTTCCACATCATAGGTAAAATCTAATATTTAAAAAGTTTAAAATTTTTTCATAATTACAATTGTCAATTATGCTAAAAATTCACTTTAAGCATATATTAAAATACATAAGAAATAAAACACACATAGAACTAACTTCTAAATTCCAGATCCAGAAATCAAATATATATGGAGATTTATTCTTAAAAAGATAAATGTGCTACCATAACTTCCAATGACATTCGCAAAAACCTATTATGTTATTTATTCTCATGTATCAAACTTCTTGCTGCTGATTCCTTGGGAACAATGGTAAATATGAATAGAAGCTCAAGTCATGCATGTGAAGAAAAAATTTTTGATGTTATAGGAATGCTAAAATATATATTTTATTTTAGCCTTTATATGAAACAAAAATGTCCCTAAAGACTAGAGTCATTTCCTGCTATTTTGTTAATTTGCCATCACCCTTTCTGAACAATAAATTTTTTGTTCAAGCCTGTCTTTTAAGCAAGCTCTGGGAATAAGCGTCCTGGATGATCCATACCCCATCTGCACAAACCCCTAAAGTCCATCTCAGTTTGTCAATTTTCCTTAACCTTTGATGAAAGGCTTGAGTAAACCTCTGAGATATTCAGAGCCTGAGTGCTCAAAACAAGGATAAGAAAAATAGCTATGGAGTCTGATTTCCTTTATTAAATATTTTGTTTTCACTGTGTCACACTTAAAGCTTTTAAAACAAGATCATGATGGCTGCTAAAATTACTAAAAAAAGATGCCCAGGCATTCTCTACTTCCTGGCCACAGGAAAACAAAAAACCAAAAACAAACAAAAAGCCTGAATTTGATCAAGTCTCTAAATCTGTGCTGTTCAATACAGGAGTCACCAGCTGAATGTGGCTACTGGGTACTTGAAATGTAGCTAATACTAACTGAGATTTTGGACATATTAGGTTAAATAAAATATATATATTTTTTTTTTAAAAAAAGGTCATGTGAACCCTTCACTAAAGCTCTAAAAATATATACAAAGAAGAGTCTCCTTAAATGACAAATGGAATTTACCTTACAAAATAGAATAAATTGCCACATTAAAGGCCCAAAAGGAAAAAACACGGGTCAATAGCTCAATCCAGACAAGATTTACTTAAGAATTACCTTTGTTTTATAAGAGAGGTTACCTTAATAAAAGGGATTAAAGGAGACAGTCAACTGGTGTATTTATAGCTAATTATCAAAGATTCAATACAGATTAAACATTAAGGAATAAATTTTGATGAAAAAAGCTAGGAAAAGAGTAAGATCTCTGGATGTAAATTCTTTTCAAAGAAAAGTAAATTTGAGTAAAAGATTTTTTAATAATAAATCTATGCTTTAATAATCTATGCAAATAAATCTATGCTTTATAACTGGAGTTTTATTTTTTAATCAATCACATAATTATTTTTTAAATCAACTACCAATAGTTAAAGTGTGACTTCTTTTTTGGTGAATGGCCACCTTAGATATAAAATATATCACTTTTTTCCATAATTCAAGTTGCATATAGTCTTTTTAGTTGAAATAAGAGGTTTATTAATTCAGTTAAAGTTTCATATGTTCTTAAACAATGCAACAGTAAAATAACTCAAATTAAATGCAGCCATATTTACACTTATAAGAAAGTTTCTTTAACATATAGACTCATGTGCCCCATAACTACGTTTCAGTCAGTGATAAACTACATATACAATGGCGGCTATACCATATAGTATAGGTTTGTAGTAGGCTTATACATCTAGGTTTGTGTAAGTACACTCTGTGATGTTTGTACAACAATGACTAATGACACATTTCTCAGAATGTATCCCTATTAAGTGACACATAACTGTACTAATAAATTGTAGGGAAAAAACCATTGGATTATCTGGCCAGAATTGTCTCACTAGAAATGTCTTCTTTTCCTCTCCAGCCTGGTGGTGATATAGCAGGAGCTGCCATTTTACTACAGTGACCCCAACCCTTGCTAGCTTGGAAAGTTGGTTAAACCAGGAGTAAGCAACTGACTTCAGCTGTGACACGTAGTCTCTCCTCTAGGATTGAGGAATTGAGCCTCCTCTCAATGACTAACACATGTTCTTGAGAACCAAAGAAAGTTGTCTACCACCAAGATCCTTTCCATAATTTTTTTTTTTTTTTTTTTTTCTTAAGCCATTACTTGAAGCCAACTTTTTTTAAACTCTTATTATACAAAATTTCAAACATCCAAAAGTAGAGAATGGTATAATGAATTCTCAACAATTAGCTTCAATAATGATCAATTCATGACCATATGTCATTTGAACCCCACCTACTTCCCTTCACCTCTGGATTAAATTACCTCGACTCATTTCATCTGTGAATATTTCTGTATACAGCTAATATTCTCTTGTGACAATATATATAATCACACAAATTAAAACATACCTTGATTGATATTCTGCATACACTTTTCATATTCTTCTGAAGGGACTTGAGTGTGAAACACTGAGAAAAAGGTGTCTCCATCCTCATAACGAGAAGGATCTATTAATTTTAAAAATCACTTGTTCAATACTTACTTATAAAATAAATAAGGAATTGTCTGCACCACTGTTAAAAAAGAGTGATAAGAACAAATATTCTCTCCAGTATTCCTCAATCCCTTCCACTAACACAAATTTTTTAAGACAATGTCAATGTCACTTCCAAGTAGAAATGACATGAGCCACTGAAATGAACTACAGAAGTATAGATAGTCAAACAGCATTTCCCTAGAACTAAGTACAAAGAGAATGTACAAAGGTGAGCTTAAAATATCACATTAAGGGCCGAGCCCGTGGCGCACTCAGGAGAAGTTTCAAATGTGTGATCACTCATTAAGATAAAAGAATGTAAGAGAAAATTTGGGAAACTCTTAGCAATTAACTTCTTTTGTGATTTATTTTCTTGGTCTAATCTCCATAAAGAAAATAGGACATTGTGCTTTTCAATTTTTTTCTGTTTCAATGTAATCTATTTTTATGTTCTCGTATTAGCTGATTTAGACACTGTATATTTGCAAGAAACTGTTAACGTAAATATCTTTTTTTTTAAGTTTGTCTCTATACCATAAAATGAAAGAATCTGCCAGGTCATGCGCAGAAATGTTTTGGCTTCAAAAACATGGCAAGTCTTGGAGATATTATAGGATCCACCACCTATCTCTGAAAATGAACCTGGTTCAAACACTCACTCTGACGTGATACAGGCAAATGAAGCAGGGAGAAGATACATTCACCCCCACACACAATCACCGAATTCAAAACATAAAACATCTGATACTAAAAACTAATCCATCAATTCCAATTCCCTAATTTGAAATCCTTAATATGTAGCATCACTGGGATTGACATTACAATGTTAGTCTTTATACATTCTTTTTTTTTTTAATTCATTTATTTATTTATTTATTACATTCTAAGATGTTGCAGAGCTGATGGTGGGTGGGGGAGAGGGGAAGGAGGAGGAGGATAGGGTGGGAGAAGGAGGAAGATGGGGTGTAATCAAGGCCTGTGGCACCCCCTCATTCTAGCAGGGGAGCCCAGGTGGCTACTGGTGGCAGCCTGATCATGGGTGGACTGGATCCAGACTTCGGGGTAGCATTCCTGAGGCCCTCGGCATCCCCACCACCCCAGCTCGGGAGCCTGGGGCACTTCCGGCAGTGGCTCAGTGGTTGTCACTGGGCTGGATGTGGACATCAATGAGGCACGGTTGAGGCCCTCCACCACCCCCCACCTCCAACCCCAGCTCAGAAGCCCAGGGTGCTTCCAGCTGCACCTTGGTCAGTCATTGCTGGGCCAAATGCAGAAGTTGGGGGGGGGGGGGCCTGACTTGGGAGCCCAGGAACATCTGGTCCTTCTAGGTTTTATGGGTGTTCTTTGGTAGTATTAGACATTTACTGGTTAATATCAGAAATTTGTCTCTGATCTGTGAGTTTTTTGTTTTTTCTATCAGTTCTGTGTTGGATTATTCACTATTCCCACCACTTAAACTCTGGACTGGAACTAATTTGTTGTCTTTTGCTTACTTTTAACATGAGGGAACTTCCTGTGGGAACCAGCACTTGAGCCCTCTGGTTGAGCTAAATTGCTGCTATGCTGCTGATTCTCTGAGGAAGGCTTTCTGTGCAGCTCAGGTTTTAATTGTTGACCTTGTAAGCACTTCCAGGTCTTGTGAGGTCCAGAACACCTGGATTGTGTGGGAACTCTGTTCTAGGCCTGAGTTTTTTCAGCAAACTGCACACCCTGCAGTTCTATATTCCTGACCAGTCTCCACTGAGTGGTCCTGTGCTGACTGGAGAGCAGATCAGCTGTCCATGCTGTGCCCCAATGTTCCCCAGGTGATCCCGTCTCCCCCACCCCCTGCACTCTAAACACTTCTCATGGGACAGGCCATGCACCAGTCCCTTGCGATGACTCACCAGCCTCTGAGTGGCTCCTTTTTTCAGTTGTCTGTGGCCCGTCTCTCCTATGTTGGTCTACAGGAACCCTTGGTGGCCTGGGGGACCACCAAGGCCCTCTTCTCCCCTGCAGCCTCCAAGCAACTTCATACAAAGGGCACAACTGTGGCCTTTGCCAGCTCTTGCTCTGTGTGCTCACCAGGGCCAGCCTTGAAGTGGCCAGGGCTCAAAAAGGTCAGAGCAGTCCTTTCTTCCTCTCATTGTGGCATCTCCCACCTCATGCACTCCATAGGTCTCTCCTCCTCTTCCCCTGAGCTCTAGTGGCCCCAGCTTGGCAGTCATTGTTTTGTAATAGTTGTAAATTGGTTGATTATGGGAGAGGGCAACACTGGGTATCATAATTTTGCCATCTTGATCCAGAAGTCTTTATATATTCTTTGATGAATTAATCAAGCAAATTAGTGGTGTAATCTTTGGGAGGAGAGGGGTAAACTACTCAGAAGACAAAAGGGCTCAAAGTTGGTTTCAAACTTCATTTGGTAGAACTACTATTACTAGGGGTCTTTAATGAAAGCAGGTTCAGCAAGTAAAAAATTTGGCAACATTTTATTATCAGTTTAAGTTACATCAGGTACTTCTAGTGGTAATATATTTATTTTCAATCCCATAGTTCCTTTTTAATAACAGTGTCACTCAATTTCATATTAAAACACCTATAATGACACAAAAATATGAGAACTTAAAAAGGGGAAAACTATTACAAGATGATATTTGAAGATCTTAAAAATAGGTACCTTCCTATGCTGAAATTACTCTTGTGACCCTGTGGCTCTTTACCCATTGTCCCAGGGGTATTCATTGCCTCAGACAGAGGTGGGTGTGTACAGCCTAGAACAAAGGTGCCATGGCTCAACTTTGAGTTAAAAAACAACAGTTTTGAAAGTTGGACATTAGATTGCAGGAGCTTAAGCTTTGAGGGGAAAAAAAGCATTGTCTGAATTCCAAAAGTCTCCCTATAGAAAGTTCTTCCTTACTGTCAAAAAACAACTAATTAATGTGGAGGAAATGATGGAATTAGATCATAATCATTCGGTAGCCATTATAATAATAATTGATTCAGGTAAGAATCATCAGTGAATGATAACTAGTGGGTGGAAGTTAAAAGAATAACAGGAACCCTTCTGCACTGTTGGTGGGACTGTATATTAGTACAGCCATTATGGAAAACAGTATGGAAGTCCCTCAAACAACTACAGATAGAACTGCGATATGATCCAGCAATCCCACTATGGGGCATATATCCAGAGGACTGGAAATCATCAGGTCAAAGGGATACCCTCACTCCCATATTTATTACAGCTCTATTTACAATAGCCAGGTGACAGAACCAACCTAAAAGTCCATCTATGGATGACTGGATAAGAAAAATGTGGTATATATATAATACTACTTAGCCATAAAAAAAGAATGAAATTCTACCATTTCCAGCAGTGTGGATGAGCCTAGAGAAAATTATGCTAAGTGAAACAACCCAGGTACAGAAAGAGAAATACTGCATGTTCTCACTCATAACCAGGAGCTGAATCCAAAAATAAACAAAAAAACAATAAAGAGAGACAGAGAGAGAAAGAAATAACAATCACAGTAATACATTGAAAGAGAGAAAGAACCGTGATTACTAGACGTGGAAAAGGTGAGGAAAAAGGGACGGGGAGAGTGAGGGGGCTAATGAGGAACTGACTAACAGACACAAAGAATGACTGCATATTGTAATGATAAATAAGTTAACCATCCTGATCTAACCATCACACATTGTATACAATTACTGAAAAATCAACATTGTACACCACATGTGTATATAATAAATTATCTTAAAGTTAGTTAATTAATTAATTAAAATAAAATAAAGAATAAAGAATAACAAGGCATCTCCACACAGGAAAACTTACTAATTACAAAAGGAAAAAACAATAACTTTACTGTAGAGAAACCTGACAGACACCATCTTAATCAAGTGATCCAAGTTAAAATCACCATTAATGGGACAATCAACATCATGTGCTTCCTGATACGACCCACGGGGAAGGATACAGTATCACTTCTGTGGGATTCCTGCCAAAAACAAATAACAAGTTCTGCCTATCAAACCGAATTATGCAGAAATAAACAAACCCCAAATTGGAGGACATTCTACAAAATAACAGGCCAATAGAGTTCAAAAATGCCAGTGTCATAAAACACAAAGAAAGACTAAAGAAACATAACAACTATATGCAATACATGATCTAGGATTTTCTTTTGCCATAAAGGATATTAGTTGGACAATTGGTAAGAATCTAAATGAAGCCTGTAGATTGGATAATAGTATTATATCACTTCCTGAAGTCGCATATGTATGTGCATGTGTGTGTGTGTGTGTGTGTGTGTGTGTGTGTGTGTGTGTGTGTGTGTGTGTGTTTGTATGGATAGGGAGAGATTGAGGGAGAGAAAAAAAGAGGATGTGTCAAAATGTTAACATTTGGAGAATCTGGATAAAGGTTATTTGAGAAATCTTTGTACTTTGCTTGTGATTTTAAATCTGAAATTATATCACAATAAGAATTTAATAGGAAAATGTTTAAAATTCCTCTCCTCACTACAAACATTTATGTGAGAAGGGGGAAAAAAGTCTCCCTTTAGAGATCAAGAGCCGAGCTTTGAGGACTGAGTACAGAGTTCCTGAAAGAAGAAGACTGAAGGATGTGATTTAGGGTATCTCCTGCCATCCAGAGAAGAAACTAGAACCCATCCCACAAAAGGGGAAGGGCCTAGAAGAGCATCAGAGGGGATGACTTTAGAGTAGACATAAGTGACACACATCTCTGGAGGTGGAATCCTAGAGTTAAACAGAAATCCAGAAGAAGATGGGGAAACCCAGAGCAGAATGGGCTCTGCCCCCCTGCACACCTGAAACTCTGGGGGGAGACTCCATACATGGACATACAGTCCTCCCCATCGACCCATGACAGCCACAGAGCGACAATGGCAGTGTGGCATGTTTATAGGGAGACAGTTCCTCAAGTATTGGTATAGACGCACACAGTTCCCCATGGCTGGCCTGTGGCAT